CGCGCTGACTTGCGCACTCCTCACTCGCATCCGCAGCAGCACCAACACCGCCAATCGTCGCCTGCATCTGAGCTTTGTGTGGATCCTTCAATTCCACAGGGCGCTAAATCGTGCAGCTGTGCAGATGCAGCACGGTGCTCCGGCCACAGACTTCCTGGACGTACAGTGAGAAGGCACCCTTCCTTGCGCTGCACAAACCTCACCAGCAGGATGACGCGCGACTTCACTATTTCGTCTTTACTTCTCCTCGTGATGGCGCGGGCGTTACGTGCCATCCAAGCGGCGCACAAGCCGGCATTTCAGTTAATGGAATGAGCAGGCCTATAAAACAAACGGAAGCATAGCAACTCTGCGCGAACTGCCACGTAGCCTTCCCTAGCAAAACGGCGGCTGCAACTCGGCATGGCCCCAACGCATGTTGCCACAGAAGTGTTTTATCCCCAACAGACAACTCACCTAGCAAAACAACGAAATGTGGAACCTCCCAAAGAGTGATGCAGAATCAAGCAAGACAAACCTGCACAAACTGCTCTGTGGGTCCTTGCCCTAGGCCGCAGGTTTGCGTGCGGGCTTCTAAACAACCCATTATGCCACCCAGCGGGCAGGTGATGCTACGTCGGGCAGATGTCTACACGTGCCTCTGGGTCTGTGAGTTATCTGACTCTGCGGAATCCTTTAGTCAGCCTGATCTACGGTAATGCCAAGTAGCTTCCCCAGGCCGCATCTTGGAGGTTCGGCGCCTAACCCCGCTAGTGGATGTGGCGCATACGCAAGCACCATGGCATAGGGAAAACTTTGACCTGGATAGGCTTTGCACGGAAGCTTTTCCTGCGAGGACGGTCCTCCGAGAAGAGGCCTTGGCCAGCGGCCAACGCACTCTCTGGAAAGACGCGACCTTGACGTGCCCAGTCCCCACTAGCACCCGCAGCAGCTCAAAAACTGCCAATCGTTGGCTGCACCAGAGCTTTGCGCGGCTCCGTCAATTCGACATGCCGCTAAATATTGAATTTGCGCAGATGCTGCACGCTACTCCGGCCACATACTTCCTGGAGGTACAGTGAGAAAATATCCTCGCTGCCGCTGCGCAAACCTCACCAGCAGGATGACTCGCCACTTCACTCTTTCGTCTTTACTTCTCCTCGTCAAAGGTGCGGGCGTTACCTATCTGCTAAGAGGCCCACAGCCCGGCCTTTTATGTAATGGAGTGAGGAGGCCTAGTCAACAAACGGCAGCATAGCGACACTGCGCGAACTGCTAAGCTTCCGTCCCTACCAAAACGACGACTCCAATGCGATGAACCCTCAACGCATCTTTCCACAGATATGGTTTAACCCCAACAGACAACGCACCTGCCAAAACAACGAAATGTAGAACTGCCTTAAAAATGATGCAGAATCAAACGAGGCGAAACTGCACAAGCTCCGTTGTAGGTCCTCGTTCTAGGTCACAGGTTTGCGTGCGGGCTTCTAAACAACCCATCACGCCACCCAGTGGGCAGGTGATGCTACTTCGCGCAGATGTCTACACTCGCCATTGCTCTGTGATTTATCCGACTCTGCGGAAGCCCCTAGTCAACGTGATCTATGGTAAAGCGACGTAGCATACCCAGGCAGCAAATATTTTGGTGGTTCGGCGCCTAACCCGCCCGGCCCCCCGGTGGATATGGCGCAACCGCAAACACGATGTGGACATTGGGCAAACTGCAACCTAGGCTCTTCTGTGTCGACGCTCCGTCGACCAGTGGTCCATGCCCATCGAGCAACGCACTCTCTGGACAGACGCCGCATTGACGGACCCCTTCCTCATCCCTGGCATCTGGAGCAGCACAAAACCCGCCAACCTTTGCCTGCATCAGAGCACTGCGTGGTTCCCCCAAATTGATGTGGCATTATATCGTGCACCTGTACAGACGGAGCGTGCTAATCCGGTCACACACTTCCTGGAGGTAGAGTACAAAGGTCTTCGCTGCCGCTGCACAAGCTTCACCAGCAGGAGGCCCCGCCAGTTCACTATTTCGCCCCACATTGTCTCCACATTGTCTCCGTGAAAGCGCCGCAGTAATGTATGTACGAAGCGGCGCACAATCCGGCGCTCCAAGTAGTGCAAGTCGGTGGCACAGTGCACAAGAGGAAGGATGGCGGCACTGCGGCAATTCCTACGTACCCATCCCTATCAAATCGATGCCTCCAACCCGAATACGCTTTCAACAAATCTTTCCACAGTTGTGTTTTGTGCCCAGCATTCAACGCACCTGCCAAAACAACGAAACGCAGAACTTCCTAAAAAGTGGTGCAGAAGCAAAGAAGTCGGAACTGCACAAAATGCGCTGTGGGTCCTCGGCCGAGGTCGCAGGTGTGCGTGCAGACTTCTGCAGAACCCTTTTGCCACCCAGTGGGCAAGTGATGATACGTCGCCCAGATAGATGTCTACACACGCCGTTGCTATGTGATTTATCCGACTCTGCAGAAGCTCCCAGTCAACCTGATCTACGGTAATGCGATGTAGCTTCCCCAGACAGCACACATCTTGGAGGCTCGGCGCCTGAACCCCCATGGTGAATGTGGCGCAGACGCAAAAGCTACGGCATTGGGCAAACTGTAACCTAGCTATTGGATCTGCATTGAAGGCTCTCCTGCTAGGAGGCCTTGCCGACGAGGTGTCCTTAGCCAGCTACCAACTCACTCTCTGGAAAGACGAGACCTTGACGTGCCCAGTCCTCACTAGCACCCGCAGCAGCACAAAAACTGCCAATCCTTGTCTGCATCTAAGCTTTGCGTCGGTCCTTCAATTTGATGTGGCTGTACAACGGGGTTCTGTACACACAGGGCAACCTCATCAGCATGACGCCGCGCCACTTCACTATTTCGTTCCGCATTGTCTCCGCAAAGACGCACCAATTACTTGTCTGCCAAGCGGCGCCCAGTGCAGCGCTCCAGGTAGCGGGCATTCGACACTTAGTAAACAAGCGGCAGCGTAGCGGCATTGCGCTAACTGCTACGCAGCCGTCCCTAGCAAAACGACAACTCCAACGCGATAAACCCTCAACGAATCTTTCCACGGATATGCTTTATGCCCAGCACACAACGCGCTTCCCAGATATACGCAGTGTAGAATTTCCTAAGAAGTGATACATAACCAGACAGGACGAAACTGCACAAACTGCTGTGTGGGCCTTTGCCCTAGGCAGCAAGTTTGCGTGCAGACTTCTCGAGAACCCATGTGGCACCCAGTGGGCAGGTGATGCTACGTTGCTCAGACAGAGGCCTACACACGCCGTAGCCATGTTATTGTTTAGACTCTGCGGAAGCGCCAGGTGGGCGTGATGCGCGGTAATGCCAAGTAGCTTCCCCAGGAAGCACACATCTTCGGCGTTCAGCGCCTACCCCGCCCAGTGAATATGGGCGTTTGCGTTTTTGATGCCGTAACCTTTTAGACGTTGAATCCATATCCGAGACGTAACTTACGGGATCAAGCGTCTGCCAGACAGCTGTTCAGGTCCCTGGTCATTGAGCAACGCACTGCCCGGACAGACGCCGCATTGACGTGCCCCTTCGTCACTCCTCACTGGCATCTGTAGAAGCACAAAGCCCGCCATCCGTTGCCTGCATCAGAGCATTGCGTGGTTCCCCCAAATTGAAGTGGCATTATATCGTGTACCTGCGCAGACGGGGCATGCTACGACGGCCACACACCTCCTGGAGGTACAGTGAGAAGGCATCGGCGCTTCCGCTGCGCACACCTCCCAGCAGGATTATGCTCCACTTCACTATTTCGTCCTTAGTTGTGCCCGTGAATGCGCGCGAGTGACGTATTTGCTAAGCGGCGCACACCCCGGCGCTCCAGGTAGTGCAACTCGGAGGCTCAGTGCAGCAGCGGATGGATGGTCACACTGCGGGAATTCCTACGCACCCATCCCTCGCAAACCGGCGCCCCCAATGCGATAAACCCTCAATGCGTCATTCCACAGATATGATTTATCCCCAACAGACACCGCGGCGTTCAGAACAGCGAAATGTAGAACTCCCTAAAAGTAATGCAAAATGAAACAAGAAGAAACTGCACAAATTCCTCTATGGGTCCTCGGCCCAGGCCGCCCAGGCCGCAGGTGCGCGTGCGGAGTTCCAGAGAACCCATACGCCATCCAGTGAGCAAGTGATGCTACGTCGCGCAGATAGATGTCTACATGCACCGTTGCTCTGTAATTTATCCGACTCTGCGGAAGCCCCTAGTCGACCTCATCTATGGTAATGCCAGGTAGCTTCCCTAGGCCTCATCTTGGAGGTTCAGCGGCTAAACCCCCTGGCGGAAATGGCACAAACGCAATCACTAAGGCATTGCGCAAACTGCAACCTTCGTATAGACGTTCCATCGAAGCCTCTTCTACGAAGGCACTCCGTCTGGTTAGGTAGGTAGGAACCACGTGTAGACACACGTGGTTCCTACCCATCGACCAACGCACTGCCTGGTCACAAGCCGCATTGACGTACCCCCTCCTCACTGGCACCCGCAACAGCGCAAAACCCGCCAATCGTTGTCTGCACCAGAGTTTTGTGTTGATCCGTCAATTCGGCTTGCTGTTATATCGTGTACCTGCGCAGATGCAGCATGCTACTCCTGCCACACACTTCCTGGAGATACAGTGAGAAGGCATGCTCGCTGCCGCTGCGCAGACTTCACCAACAGGATGGCGCGCCACTTCACCATTCCCTTCTGCATTGTGTCCGTGAGTGCACGCGAGTGACGTATGTGCCAAGCGGGGCACAGCCCGGCGCTCCAGGTAATGCACTTTGGCGGTTCAGTGCACAAGTGAAAGCATAGCGACACAGCGTCAAGAGCTACGCAGCCATCCCTAGCAAAACGGCGACTTCAACGTGCCATGTCCTCAACAGATCTTTCCAAAAAGCTGCTTTATGCCCAACAAGCAACGCACCTGCCAAAAATACGAAATGTAGAACAGGACGAAACTGCACAAACTTGTCTGTCGGTCCTCGGCCTAGGCCGCAGGTGTGCGTGCGGAGTTCCAGAGAATCCATATGCCACCCGGTGGGCAGGTGATGCTACGTCGTGTAGATAGATGTCTACACACGTCGTAGCTCTGTGATTTAGCGGACTCTGCGGAAGCCCCTAGTCAACCTCATCTATGGTAACGCGACTTAGCTCCTCCAAGCAGCAGACATCTTGGACGTTCAGCGCAAAGCCCACCCGGTGGATATGGCGCAAACGCAAGCTCTTCAATGAAGGCTTTCTTGTGACAACGCTCTGTCGATAAGTGGTCCATCTCCATCTATCAACACACTCGCTGGGCAGGCGGCGCATGGATAAAATCGCGCCTCACAGGCATGCGTAGCAACACAGAAAGCCGTTTATAGTTGGCTACATTTTTGCGCTAGCTTCTCCGCTTCCCCTCACTATACCGGCGGCGCGTTTGTCCGTATGCAGATGGACTGGTCCTGTCGCTACACACTAGCTGGAGATACGCTGAGCAGGCATATCTGCGGCCTGTGCGGGGGCGTCAGCGAATGTGCGATGGCTGCACACAGGTTATGAGCTGGGATTGTTCAGGAACTCTGTGTTAAAGGACTGTGTGCGATCGCCACTAGACCTGGGAGGTGGACGGGTGGACGGCTGTGTCCGGCGTTATACGCAGTCAGCAGGCGAACCCATAGTCCCCGCTTGGTTAATCAAAGGACTGGTTGGCTCCTTTTATTCTGGGCAGGTCATCGCCCCGCATCCACATCATGTTGTCTTTTAACCTGCATATAGTCCATTTGTCGCAGCCCAGTTCCCCAAACGATGAGCTTCGTCGAAATCTGCAACTGATGGCAGGCTCGTGGTACTTAAAAACATCTGATCAACTGGTGGTGCAGACTGACTGGCGTGCGGTGCAGCAGTGGTTATGCTCGGAGCGAGCAACGAATGGCAAAAATGCTCGGATAATCTGCTCTGAAGCGCCTGCTGCTGTTGTGCGAAATGATAAATGGGTATGCGCATTCGCGATTCCACTCAGGTGAAGAAAATCTAGATTCCGCTATACGCGCGCTCTTCATTGCAGGCTTGTGCATCCATCGCTCAAAGTGATCTTGACGCACACTTCACAATCGCCCATGCTTACTTCCCTCCAAGTTCATATTGCTAAAAGTGGTAGTATACCTGATGATTGAAGCTCGCCTTAAAGCTCGGAAAGGCTGTGATTACTTACCATCTGAGGCATAGTAAATTCGATTTCAGGAGAGTGCTAGCTTGGCCGGGGGGGGCCCGTCCAACTAAAATACCGCTCTGGGGGAGTGAGGCAGCCTACTTGCTCTGAGTCACTTCCGTCTGCGTTTTGACAACTCCACCCAAATCCAGCATATTCTGATTCAGCCATCGGCTACATGCCTCCCCTTGATATGAGCAACAGGAGGCTCAAGGCTCTAATATTAAGCCCTTAAATAATCTTGACTGTGCGTCGTTTTGCCTCATCGCCATTTTCTGTTCTTGCCACACATCAGGAAGCCCTGTAGCTGCGCGCCGAGTTACTTAGTTCGCTTTCGCGTAGAACGTGTAGGAGCCGATCGTTTCCGTCGTGCCTCAAGTTAGCTAAGCAGGCAAAGCTGGACAACCTTGTGCACTTTTCATAATACGTATGGCCGGCAAGCACCAGAGAAGCCTCGGATGGCTTGTAGGATGTTTACCAGCCATTTCAGTTCGGTATTGTATGCACCTATATTCCTGCAACTCTCCCGAAGTGCCGCAATACAGATATTAAGCGTGCCCTTTCTGCTTCTCTTATACTCTAGCTCTAGTCACAGCTGCGCGCAAACACGCCTGGTAACATTCTAACCGGCTTCTACGCCAGTTAACCTTTCGGCTTGTGCATTCTGTCACCCAGCGTTAACGATGCTCTATGCCGCCCCAAGTGCTAAATTCCAGCTATTCTGAGATACCTTCAAGATTTCTGGTGTTCTTACTTGCTTTAACATAGTGGCAAAGGGACAAACGCAAAGAAGAGAACATCGTACGCCTTGGTTGCAATTGCAGTCTAGGCAAAACGCAAAGGCTGAGCGAAGCCAGCGATGCGCTTAGAAACTTGAGCTGCTACGCAGCCCTAGCTAACGTGTTACGCAGAGCTGCCTTGCCGCCCTGGTTAGCAAGTTTACATCGCACATTTCGATCCACTAGTGGACTTTAAACAGAACTGCCTACCCACCAACTGCATCAGGCATTCCACCCAGCGATAGGCAGTGCTGCGCAACCATGTTCTGATATGCCTTTGCTGGCAGTGAGTTGCTCGCAACCCTACAAGAATTCCCTGTTTCCAAGGAATAAAATGGTTTTGTTCTAGGGTGCACCAAGCTGCTGACTGGACCCTCCCGTAAGAACACACAACATTATAATATTTGCAGTACATGGGGAAAATATAACGACACAGCAAGCGAAAGGGGTGTTGCAACGCCGAAAAGCAGCTGCAGCCCCTACAACCCGATGAAGTGACATGCGCTCAACAGCAGTGTAAGATGAGGGTGCCGAGCTGTTGCACCTGTGCTTCCGCCACACCACACGCGCAAAGAAAG